GGGGGGGGCGTGCGAGTATGCAACCCCGTCCGCACGCCTGCACAACCAGAAGCAGAAAGAGTGGCGTCGATGAGCGATGAGCCACCCTGCATTTAGGATGTGGTCGGGGCGCAGCTTGTTTGCAAGGTCGGGGCAAACTATCTCGAGAATGATGGAGCAGGCCAGCACTTTTTGATCCATAGCCCAGTTCCGCTGTACTACTACGTGGGTGCCTTCTGCTCCCAGCAGCACGTCCGCAGGTCACACTAAAGCGTTCATGCCACGGTTCATCGTGCAGTGGTGCGAACGCAAGTTGTCTACATGCAGGCGGGCCGGAAGGAGGGAATGACCGCGCTCAATCGCCCTTCGCCGATAGAATAAGAAAGTATAGATGCAGTCTAGTCTAGTCCCCCCCCCCCCCCAAATCTCGCGGCGTCCGTACGTACGGCTTCCCCTAGAGCGACTGCCCGTTGCCGTTTGGCTCTCTCTCTCTCCCACACAGAAGCGAACACCTCACTGCCTCAGCAGCGCGCAGCGCGGGCGGCGGTGTCCACACATTCCCCACAAAAGATGCCGCGTCGACCGGCCAAATTGGTCGCGACTGCACAATGGCTCATTCAATTTCACAGTCTGCGGTAAAAACACAGCAGCCTCCACCACCGGCCCGAGTGGTCGCGGGGTTGCAAGAGCTTGAGAGCCAGCTCCGCCTGCTCTGGGCCCACTGCAGCCGCAGCATGTAAATAAGAGAACAAGAGACGCGATTGGGGGCCAGCCGCCAGCCCTGTTCGTAGCCAGCTGCGGGGGTGGGGGCATTGCGTATGACTTTGCGGTGAGTCTGACTGGCTTTCTGGGTAGAGCAAGTAAAGTTGTCTCATCCATCCAAAGTCATCACAGGAATTTGTCAAAACGACTCGTCGAAGTCAAGATTTTGATCATTTGGTGTGGCCGGCTCCAAACCGTGACGCTGGCCTCATTTGATGTCATTTCCACAAATTACTGGTAACTAGGTGGTAGCACGAGCAGTGGCACTTCTCGCAGGTGTCGCTGCTCTGCAAGTTGTGTATCGCTCTCAGGTGCAGCGCCGCACTCCCTCGGTTCGCACCCGATGCCTTGCTGTTTTATCGTCGTCGTACTACGAGCTAAATTACCCCCCTGTGGTCCAAGGGGGGCATAAGCAACGGCCAGTGCGGACGCGGTCGTAACACGGCTGCCCGATGACATGTTTCCAGCCGACAACTACTCGCCTCCGGAGGCCGGGCCGCTGGCCGCGGCATACCTCCGCCCCTCCTGCCAAAGGGTATGGGGCCTCGCGGCACGGCGCGGCACGGCCGACACTCCCCACACCCCGTGCCATTTCGTGCACTCCAGCCAAGGTCGCGGAGCAGTGCACCCTTTCATGACATGGCAGTCGGTGGTGCGGGACGGAGATGGAGAGACCAAAAGCGCGGCCGGCCGTCTTCTGTGCCGTCCTGCTCCCCATCTGGCAGAGAGCTCTGTTAAAGTTCACCTCCTCACCTGCCTCGTCAGTGCAAATGGCCTTTGCTAACAGCCCGGCTCGGCCTTCCCTTCACACCCAAGTGGTCGCGATCAGTTCAACGGCAACCTCATCGTTAGATGCGTTACGGATTCGGTCCGCTTCCCTCCAGTTTCCTGTGCTCGGCCGGGCCGCCCGCCACGCACCATCCCCCGCCCGGCAAGTAGGCAGCCCATTCGACTCCCAGAGTGGCGGGCCACCTCAGTCTGGCCCGCCCTACTAATGCTCTCACCTGCGGCGTGAACACCCGTGGGTGTATTAGCTCCCAAAAGTTAAAGGCGAAACAAACTGCTAATCTACTTGAAACAGCCACTTGAGGTAATCCACATTGATGATTCTTATGGTCAAACTCCAGAACACTAATGAATGCAAAAATTTACTTAAAGTCTTAACTAAATTCCATGTAGTCATTATGAAGTGCAGAGCTTGCCCACTCTACCCTATCTCTTACAATTTTAAGGGGCTATAATAATGTGGTGAAAGTAACAAAATGCCAAAACTAAGAACTAGGAGTGGCAGGCCCTAGCTCAGTACCACAAACAGGAAAAACAGATGCCACAATGTTTAAAAACCTAAAAAATAGAACTTCACTGAAATGGTGATTTTCACATTCAGCACACTCACAG